TAAAAAACGGACAATAGCTTAGTAAAAACATTTGGATGTAGTAGATACTAACTTAGGTATAGTGCCGACTGGCCTGGTCAGCGTAGAATAGATGATATTTCCCGTGTTCACCACGGGAATCACGTGCGATTCGTATAGCGTCTCCAAGGTAACTACCGACCGGTCTGGAGGTAGTGATAACCTGGGGTTATTGATTGAAGTATTTCATCAGAGCCAATTGTTGGGCCTGCTCCGGAGTGAGCTAAGGTTCGGCGTTGCTGCTGGTCGTGAACGTCGTTCTTCACCTTGGACGGCGACGCTGATTTGAAGATGTCCAGGTCGGCATCGGGATCGTTGTTGGGCACCACCACCCTCTTGAGCATGTTCTCGTCATCGCGATCGTCGTCGCCAAAGTCGAGCTTGTTGCCGGTTTCGTCGAGCTTTGAGTTAACTCGTTCAGCGTCTTGCTCGGAATAAACTGATAGTCTATAGATTTTCATCGGCGGCAGCGTCTTCGTCACCGTCATCGCACGCAGGGAAAGAATGAATTTACTAAATTTTTCTGATCTGAAAATAATTTTTGTTTAATAATTAAAATAATTTTGTGCACAATAATTGCTAGAATATCAAAACGTTTTATAGCAGTGCTTATCAGTTTTAATAACTTATTTTGATGATTCAACGAAAAATTATGTTTAGATGTGTCTGTGATCTGTTTTCAGCAAAATTTTTATACCTTTCAATAAAATCGTTCTTTTCGTGAGGGCGATGTTGTATGTTTGCACCAGCCGAGTGATGCTGTTGCCAGCATAGATCATCGGCAGCATATGCGTCTTCAGCAACGTCTGCGTCATCGATTACGTCAGCGTTTCCAACGGCGGTATCGCGCGTCACCTGAGCGGCGTCCAGGTAGATCGCCGGCAGAGTCACGACGGACGAGTATTCGAGCGATCGTACGTAAGCCTCTCAATGAAGTATATATTAAGTTAATAAGGCAGCATCCATTTAGTTATTAGAAATGCCGATAATAATTATACAATATTAATTATAAAATTACAATACAATCAATGATGCCGTATACATATTATCAATTACGTCAATTTTGTTCGATAATAATTCAACACATCTCACACATGAGGGAGCGAGCTTATAGAACTAGATATATCATTCGCTTGATTCACAATAATGTACGCGAACCATACTAACATATTGTTATTATTATTAATCATTTATCAGTCATTCATACACACATTTATACGCCTGTTTGTAGAGGTGTGCGAATCAAGCCTTTGCAGGGTCGAATTGAATCGAATCGAATTTTTATAACATGTTCGAAATCGAATTGAATCTAATCTGAAATTTTCACTTTGAATCGAATCGAATCGAATCTCTTTAATTCGAATTGAATCGAATCGAATCTATTGTAATTCGATTCAATTCGATTCGATTTGAATTCGAAATATTCGCACACCTCTACCTGTTTGTTTCAGTCCCACTAGAGATACGGATTCTCATGAGGGAGCATTTCAATTGCTGGTACCGACTAGCGCCGTATCATATCAGCACATTGCTGATCGAGATACCCTTCTAGGCGGCGTGTGCGGCGTCGTATTTGGTGGTGAGCTACTGGTTGGTTCGATAACCCATTAAAACGAATTGTATAATATTCTTCATGGTAATCAGCATAGCCGCCAGCCTGATGGTGCAAGCATGAGGTATTTTCATCGGCGTTACCACGCCGATTAATTGACTTGAAGTTACGCAATGGATATGTAGATTAATCAAGAAAATAATGATTTACGAATCATTCAATCATGTATCTCATTATATTTCTCATTTTATTCATTATGTGTGAAATTCATTATATTTGTCTTGCGCACATCCAATTCCACTCCTTTTCTGTCCAAATATTTTTTCTAGAGTTCCAATCTTATTAACATGCTTCTCGTCCTATTCTCCTCTTCCACCAACACCATGTTATCCGCATATAACAGTGAATAAATTTTCTCTCCTTCTAGCTTGACCTCATACCTCACCATCGATCAAACCAAATATTTTTTCTAAAGTTTCAACCTTACTAACATGATTCTCATCCCATCCTCCTTCTCCACCAACACCATGTCATCCGCATATAACAGCGAATAAATTTTCTCTCCTTCTAGCTTGACCCCATACTTCACCATCGATCAAACCAAATATTTTTTCTAAAGTTTCAACCTTACTAACATGATTCTCATCCCATCTTCCTTCTCCACCAACACCATGTCATCCGCATATAACAGCTTTGGTAAGCTTCAATTAAACTCAAAATTTGCGATCGATTCCAATATACGATACAATACAAACAGATATAATAGTCGCTTATACGAGACGAAATAGAAATAAAAGTTTGATAATGTCGTACAATCAAAAATTGTATCAGTGGCAAAGAGAATGTCTATCGTTCAGTATATCGTTCAAAACATAAAAGAAAAAAAATTGCGATTACAGCTGGCAGCTGTCTTAATTCTTAATCTATTAATATATTTATTAATAAAGAATAACTTTTTAAATTATAAGACCACTTTGTAATAGTCATTGCAAGTTTAAAAAGTTATTAATTGGTGGTTTATCATTTACGTTTTCGATGTCGATTGAGGTTATATGACTTCAATCGTATACATATTAGACCTATTAGGATCGACTAGATCGGAAGAGCACACGTCTGAAC